ACAGGTAGACAATTTCAGGAGTGTGTCACCACAGCCAAGACGGTAAACTTATCTACTCCCTTCAGAAGTGTCTCTGAGTCTATGAACAGTTAAAATTTAAAAAGTATAATATTTTTATTTAGTTGAGAATTAATATTACAACTCCTTTTGGGCTGGGTTTTCTTTTTTTCTTTCTTGGCAGTACTGGGGATCAAACCTAGGGCCTCATACTTTCCACCAAGCTTCAGCCTGAGCTCTTTCATAGAACATATTTAAGTGCACACCATGTTGTCCAGTAGAGGCGATATTCACCGTGTATATGAATTAACCGTTCCCTATGTGCTCCTTTCCCACCCCAGGCAACCACCACGCTTAGCTTTGCTTCCGTGTGTGCCCCATAGCCTTGCCATTGCTTTGTTTACTTGCTGCACGGCAGAGAGATGGCACGATTGGATGGGCATGTGTAGGCTTAGGAGATGGTGTGCATACATCTATTAAAACACTTTGGTGTTGAATTCTACTTGAAAATTGATTGTTTGCTTTTCCTAAGGAAGGAAGGAAGGATGAATTTGATATGCAGCTGAGTGTCACCTATCTCATTGACTTCGCTTTTTGGCTGTAGATACCACAGAGACATATCTCTCCCCTCATCCTAGAACCAAGAGGAGGCTCAAACTCCAGTCCCTGCCCTTCCTCCCTCTGTGTCTCCTCTATCCAAATTGCTGGTTTCTCTATGGCAATTCCAATCAGCTAGTCACTGGCTCCATCCCCTGATTCAAGGTATAACTTTTTTGGATAATCTTAGGAGTGTCAGAGTGTGATCAAAATATACTACAACAAATCTCTTTTTGAAATAAAACACACATGACATTTATGTGGCACCTACCACACGTATGAAGGTGCCCATGGAGACCAGAAGAGGGCATTAGGTCCCCTGGAGCTGGAGTTAGAGGCAGTTGTGAGATACATGATGTGAATGCTAGGGACCAAATTCGTGTCTTCAACAAGAGCAGCAAGTGTTCTTGCCGGACAAACCATCTCTTTAGTGCCCCCCCCCATCCTGAGGTACTTAAGCTTACTCAGTAGGGAACTTAATAGTAAAATATTGATTGAACTTGCAAGTACTTTGAATTAAACTAGGGTTGGCAATCATTCTTCTTAATGGCATGGCTTTTAATCTTGATGCTTTTTTATTTGGCACTGATTCTTGCCTGGGAGTGGGGTTTTCTGTCAAGTAGGTAAGGATAGGAAGGAGCAGGTTTGAGTGATGAAGTGGGCATCAGGGAAGAGTTCTGACTGACAAGACGTTGGGCAATCCATGATTGAGCAGTTGCATGTTGATTTCCTACTTAGAAATAAGCTTCTCTGTGGCAATGTACAGGAAATACACTTTTATTTCAGATTACAGGCCATATTTAAGGTAAAGCCACATATAGCATATACCCCCGTCTCAAGTGCTCTATATAATGTCAGTGTTTCAAAATTAAACCTTGCAGTTGCCAATGGATTATTGTAATAACTTGCAAGTAGGATTTTTTGGTAGATTCCTACATATATCTGCACAAATATTTAGTGTTGTTTGTTTGTTTTTGAGATGGGGACCTGTTATGTAGCCCATGCTGGCTAATGTCGCCCAGCATGGCCTCAGGTTTGTCTTGCCTTAGTCTTCTGAATGCTGAGGTTACACATGTGTGCCACCATGTCCTAATTTATTACGGTTTTGGTTCATTTCCCTAGTTACTATGGTAGGCATCTTTCCAGGCGCTCCTTGGCTGTTTGCTGGTTTTGGGAGAAATCACCAACATTATTGCTCCACCACCGGGGCTTATCATCACCCCCATTTGCTCATTTTAAAAAAATATGTCTTTAAACATTTTAAAACTCAAGCATTGTTTATTTTTATTTATATAATCATTGTATAAGGATATTTTCATACAGGTACACGTTACCCACTGGGCATATCAACTTCCCTGCCCCCATTAGTCCCTGTTACTCACTGTACAATTTCATGTCATCTATGCATATATGATTCTGCCTGTGTGTGTTTAAAATCTAGTAGCTGAGTCAAGACAAAACATGTGATACTTGTTTTTCTGGGACTGGCCTGATTGGTTTACTGTTGTTAGCTATTTCCAGTTGCTTGTAAGGACATAACTCTTTTATGTCTGAAGAAGACTCACTGTGTTTACAGCACAATCTCTTCATCCATTCTTCCATGTGGTCCCTAGCTTAGTCTGTGTGGTGCCTGGCTTAAAGTCCTTCTGGCAAGGACTCAGTTGTATAACAGGGTTACTTAGCAGGATCTGCTTTAAGTTTCTTGTTTGGTTTGTTTTGTACAGATTTTATGTGTGGATTAAACACATTCATGATTAACTCTGAGTCACCAATAATGCATGGGTTTCACATTAAGGAATAAAACTGCTTCCCCTTGGTATAATTTAACCAAGAGCAAGCCCAGATTTGAATTCTCTACCTCATGCTCCCTGTGTTTTCTGTCCTTTGTTGTGTGATCTGAATTTGTGACTGCCTGAAGGCTGTCTTTGTGAATCTGTCCCTGTGTCTGGCTCTTCTGTCTGTCTTTGTGTGCCTGTCAGTTGTATGAGATGTGTGTCTGTGCTTCAGCAAAGGGCTTCACTCTGTCTTTCTTAAACAGCACAGAAAGCATCACATGGGAAGGAATGGAGAACTTTACAGACTTCTTTAACAGAGCTGAATAAGGGATTAAGTCTGGCTCCACACAACAAACAGTACTATAAATATTGTTTATTAACCAATACCCATAAATGTTTTCATCCTTTATGGTAGAGTTTAGAAAGTTGCTTTCAGCCTCTATATTTGCTACTTTCATCAAATGACACACACATACTGTTCTGGGTCATGGGCATGGAAAAGTACACAAGTTAAGATTACATCTATAAGATGGGCAGTGGTGGTACACACCTTTAATCCCAGCACTCAGTAGGCAAAGACAGGCGGATCTCTGAGTTCAAGTCCAGCATGGTCTACAGAGCGAGTTCCAGGATTGAGAAATCCTGTCTCATAAAAACAACAACAAAAACCCAAAACAATGAAAACAAAAGATTCAGCTATGCATTAATTTAGGTTCTAAATGTTGATTACATGAGAAATCCAAGGCAAGTAAGGATAACCGTTACATTGGTCTCTTAAAGAGTGTACACAGTTTGAGTACACAGTAGGCTAGCTATTACCACTTAAGTGACCTCAAGATGAATTACTAACTCTGGCTGTGTGGTCCAGTAAAAGTTCTAGTCTCTTAAAATACAAGAGATATTCCTAGAATATTTCATTGCCACAGTTTTGTTCTTGTTTTTTGTTTTTGAGACAGTCTATTATGCAGCCCTGGTTGGCCTAGAACTTTGAGATCTGCTTGCCTCTGCCTCCTGGAGTGCTGGGATTAAAGGCCTGTGCTATCAAGGGAAGTCACGTTTTAGTTTACTGAGGGGAACCCCTCCCCCACACTGGTTTCTATAGCAGTGAACTGGTTTATATTTCCACCAAAGGTAGGTAATAAGGCTTCACTCTGTCTATATTCTCAGCAGCATTTTTGGGGGGGGGGTCAGAACCCAGATGTTTTAAAATTGTATATAGCAGTCACTTTTCTACCTGGAGGCAGTAAGAAAGACACTTTTGAGCAAGCTGATAAGACAATAAACCAAAGCTCAAAGGTCTCTGGGAGAGCAACTGTTCAGTTGATTCAAAGATCTATGATAGGGAAATTTGAATGAGAGAAATAAAGAAAGTTTCATTTTGATTACAAACCTAAAAGGACACTTAAGACCTTCTTATGCTGTAAGTTTTCCTACTTCCTTATTTCTTCCTTTACTATGTTCTTGTACCCTTTGAACTGGGAGCAGAATCTTAAGGTATTTTAATAAGCTTTTGTGTGCTTGATGTTGTCTGCCCCTTTCTTTAGCGTGTCTGTGTGTCTATGTGTATACCTATGTAGGCAGTGTATGTACGTGTGTGTGTCTCTGGTGGGAGTGCTTGTGTGTATGGAGGACAGCCTTGGGTGTTGTTCCTTCGGCATTGTCTGCCCTTTCTTTGCTCATTCTTTCTTTCTTTTATTTTATTTTGGACACGGAGTCTTTCACAGGCCAGGAGCTCAATGAGTAGGCTAGGCTGGCTGCCCCGCCTGCCCCTGGTGTCATCTGCATGTGTACGAAGCCTCCTCACAGGTTTTACGAGTATACACCGCATCACATGGATCTTATTTTAAACATGGACTCTGGGACTTGAACTCAGAGCCTTGTGTTTGCACAGCAGGCACTTTACCAGCTAAGCTGTCTCCTCAGTCTTTGCTTTCTTGTCTTAGACTTCGCCTTCCATCCTTCTCTTTATAACATCTGTGCATATTTAAAGACAGTCCAGCCAGATTTATTGAACAGATGTTGATTTCTCAGTAGTTCAAGTATTGCAATGTTTTGTTTTATGCATATGAAGGGCAGTTATGAGTTGCTGCAGCTGCATTTACTGAAAAATCTTTGTGTTGATGATAGCATGAAGATCTAACACTTGGGGCACTGGTGGTGCACATCTTTAATTCCAGCACTCAGGAGGCAGGGGCAGGTAGATCTATGTGAGTTCAAGACCAGTCTCGTGTACAGAGCAAGTTTCAGGACAGCCAGGGCTACACAGAGAAACCTTGTCTTGTGTGTGGGAGAAAGAGGGGTCCCTAACAGATTAAGAGCTAACATTCCTGGGGTAGAAATATAGCTCAGTTGGTAAAGTGCTTGGCATAAAATGAAATGATGTTGGAGGCAGGAGGTAGGAGTTCACGGTCATCTTCAGGTACATAGTGAGCTTGAGACTAGCCTGAACTACATGAGATCCTGCCTCAAAAAGAAAGAAAGATAAAAAAGAAAGAAAAACAAAACAAAAACCATAAAAAACAAGCAACAACATCCAGCACTGTTGTTGGACAGATGGGCATAGAAGTCTGCTAGCCTGGTGAGTTTTTCTTGGCACCATCTTGATTGCTCTATTTTTCTCTTGTATTGTAGCCGCTTCCAGAGAAGTTTGTGGTGAAAGGTGTCGTGGATCGATTTTCAGAAGAGTTTGTGGAGACCAGAAGAAAAGCCCTGGATAAATTTCTAAAAAGGATTACAGATCACCCTGTGCTCTCTTTCAACGAACACTTCAATGTGTTCCTCACTGCTAAGGTATAGGCAGAATTTTGTGTATATCCCTGTAAATGATCATTCTTGAGCTCCTTCTCTAACAGCTGCCTTGCTCTTTCACGAGCAGCTTCCGTGAGTGGCCCTCTCGGGTGGGTGTCATAAAGACCGTCTACTTTCTTGGTGCCCACTGTGTTGCCAGGATTTCTGTTTTAGAATCCAGAAGGAAAACAGGTTACTCCTTTTGCCTTAGCAATGGAAGTCAGTATTTTCACTTGCCAAAAGCAGAAGTGTCCTGTAAACACTTCTTGGCAGTGTCAGTAGGTGAGGCTTATCAACAATAGACACAAAGAGAAAGAATGCTGAGCATTTGGCAAGAGTGTCCTTCAGGCTGGCAAGATGGTTCAGTGGGTCCAGTGTTGGCCACAGAAGCCAAACAAAGTCAAGTCTTCTCTCCAGGTCCCATACAAAGGTGGAAAGACCCAGCTCCGCAGGGTGCTACCCACACATCAAGGTTCACACACACTCCAAATAATACATTATAAGAATATTCTCCATAAAACCCGTTGTGGATACAAAGGTCCTTGTGCCTACAGAGTACTAGGGACCAGGAATGTTAAACATACTGGGGCCACTGGGAATGGACACTGTTAACAACCTGGTGATCTTTTTATTCTCAATGGAGGCATATCTCACCCACGGTCTTAGGGTTTCTATCGCTGTGACGAGATACTATGACCACAGCAACTCTTACACAGGAAAACATTTAGTTGGGGCTAGCTTACAGTTCAGAGGTTGAGTCCACGATCATCGTAACGGGTAGCATGGCAGCATGCAGGCTCATGCGGTGCTGGAGCTGAGAGTCCTGCATCTTGCAGGCAACCAGAAGCTGACTGAAACACTGGGTGGTATCCTGAGATTAGGAAACCTCAAAGCCCACCCCCATAGTGACACACTTCCTCCAACAAGGTCACATCCACTCCAATTAAGCCAAACCTCGTAATAGTGCCTCTCCCTATGAGGTTATGGGGGCCAATTACATTCATACTGCCACACCCCCCTTGTGCTATAAAGGCAGACCTCTCCCAAATCACCCAGAATGTTTATCCCAGACTCTTCTCTCCTTAGAACATTGTCTTTAGCTCCCAGTTAATAGAACCCACTCTTAGGGGAGATGACACGCGTACTTTATGGCCTCTGTGCTATCTTGGTCAGAGACCACACTCGATTCTAGGCCTTTTAGCTGTAGAACCCATCCTCATGGTCACATGTACTTTACAAAGAATTCCTATGTAGTCACACCTTAAACTTTATTGTGCACCAGTAATTGGAACGCTTGTTGCCTGGGAACTTTTCCCCAAATTGTACTGTGCTTTAAATATGCTGATAACCACCTGGCATCAGACTCTTCAGGTCTGGTTGAGGTTGATGAAGTTAACCAGAGCCGAGTTTTCATTCTCCCCTCTTCCCTGCCTTGACACCTCCCGGGCCCCTCAAGAACTGTAGCTTCATTTTCAGACAAGGAAACTGAAGTTGAGAGCGATTAAACTTGTTCAGTTGACATCACTAGAACTTGAAATTGGGTCCCGTGGCTTTTAAGGCCGTGCTTTCCATCTGTATCACAAGGTCTGACCATTGCTTGCTGACAGCTGTGTTCCTCTTGTGTGTGTTTTCCAATCATTTGCCAGCGAAGTCTTGGTTTCCAGCTTGTTGCTAGAGACTGTTCAAGCTCAGGTTGCTTGTTCCCTGGCCTTATGCCTCTCTTGCTGTTGGCAGAACTGGCCTGAAATCTAAGGCTCCACTCTCACTGTGCAGAAGTGGGGTCACATGCTCAGACTATCCCCAGCCAGCCCATTCAGTTTCAGGTTCCTGCATTCAAGCCATATATAGTACACGCTAATGAAAAGGGTGTTGAGGTCTAAGTACTGTCCATTTCACTTTGATAAAATTACAAGAAAACAGAGACATCTGTGCATAGCAGCTGCTGACATTTAAGGCATCTGGAAGATTCTGTTCTCCACTCATGGAAACTATCTGGCAAAGTCCTCTAAGTTTTTGCTTTTGATGCCAGTAGATGGCACCCATGAACTAGCTCCCCCTACAGGTTGAACATGATTAATGCAAGCATTTCTCAGTATACTGATGCTTGGGTATGGGCCTTCAAGTTTCTTGTTCTTCCAAAGCGTAAGTTGGTTCCCAGGTTACAGGACCTTTGTCCCGAAGCCCCAGATTGTCTTCATTCCTGAATGAAGTGGGACAGGGTTGTGACTTGGATTCCTGGTCCTTAGGAATCTGCATGAAGAATGAGTGGGAAATGGTGTGACTTAGAGAGAGGTGAATTGAGATCTCTGGCCTAAACAGTATGACAAGGATTTTTAAAGATGTATAATAGGGTCTGTCAGTGTCTCCGTCAAAGTCCTGTTCCATGAAATGAATACAGGGGCAGCCCCTAATCACAGAGTTCTCTCTGAGCTTGGGTGGTGCACACTTTTAATCCCAGCACTTGGGAGGTGGACGCAGAAGGATCAGGACAGGGTCATCCTCAGCTACATAGTGAATTGAAGACCAGCCTGGGCTACATGAGCCCCTGTCTGAAGAAACAGAGAGCAAACCCAAACCAAAACAAACTGTAAGTCTGTTTTGGCATCATTTGTCAAACTAAACATACCAAATTGCCCATCTTTTTTTTTTTTTTAATCAACTATGATAAAATATATGTGATGTGAAATTATTATCTTAACCATTTCTAAGTGTACAGGCCAAAAATGTTAAGTATATTCACACTGCTGTGTAACCATTCTTCAGGACTGTTCTAGAACTTCCAGTCTTACAAATCTGATACTCAGCTCATAAGACAAGAACTGTTTCTCCTCACCCAACTCTTCTATACTTTCCTTTAACATACCATTGGGTTGATTTCCCTGGGGAGATGTCAACAAACATCTCTTCTTCCCCAAGAAAGGGCATCAGTAATAGACCAACATAATAATTCCTCTAAAGCTGAGCTCTGCCAACCAGTGGGGTCCCTGGGTTTTGTTTACAGAGCACGGGGAAGGGGTTACATACAGGAGAGAGTATGACTAAAACACAACAAAACCGTCTCAGCCCAGTCAATGTTCCTGTAGTTGCATAGATGAGTACTCTGCTGTGTATAAGGTCACTCTGACCATAACAGAGAGTTACATACAGCTGGGAAGGAGGTCTAGGAAGGACTGGCTGGAGTCTTAGGTGAGGTTCTGATGATCTTTGTCTTACGAGTAGCAGCGGTGTTTGGATCGCCATCTTCATCTGAGTTGGAATGGGTGTATCAGTTGGGTGGGTACCACTAAAAGTTCCGTTCACTTGTTAGTTGACTTACCTGGGGCACTTGTTTGAAGGAGAGAGTATGAAGTTGAATGAACCACTTGAGTCTAGTTTCCAAACTATGTCACCTGTGGAAGGAACTCCAAGAACCCAGCAACACTGAGGCTTCAGGGACAGTCTGAGAAGGCCTGTGGGGAGGTTTCCTGTCAGGAGATCAGGGTGGGAGATGGAAGCTTTAGAATGTTTTCCTAGCTGTGTGGCTTGGAAGGGAGATGAGTTGGGAAGAGAGGCTAGAGGGGATTACTTTTGTTCTCAGGTGGGCATGAGCAGCCCTGTCACTCATCCGTTATTCGTTCTTTACCAGGTCAGGTCATGAGAAAGCCACAGCCTTGCTGTGTCCGTCCCCTTACCCCACCCCCACCCCCAGAACTGTCTGTGGATAGGAGCAACAGACCCAAGCACCATCTGTAAAACCCATTTTTCAAAGTGTTCCAGGACAGCCTAAAGGCACAGTTCAGTAATGGGAACAGGCTTGTTTCCCTGATGGGCTATATATACTTGCTGTTTGTTGCTGCTTTGAGATAGGGGCTATGGTAGTTTGAATAAGAATGGCCCCTGTAGGCTCATATATTTGAATGCTTAGTCATCAGAGTGAAAAGGGTTGGCAGGTGTGGCCTTGTTGGGGAAAATATGTCACTAGGGGGTGGGTGGGCTTTGAGATTTCAAAAGCCCATACCAGGCCCAGTGTTTGTCAGTCTGTTTGTCCCACCCTGCCCAATAGATCAGGATTCCTCCCCTCCTTCCCCTCCCCTCCCCTCCCCTCCCTTCCCTTCCCTTTCTGCCAATGGATCAGGATATAGATCTTGGCTACTTCTCCAGCACCATGCACATTCCCATGTTCCCTGCTATGATAACAATGGACTAAACCTCAGAAACTGTAAGCAGGCTCCAATTAAATGCTTTCTTTTATGAGGGTTGCCTTAGTCATGGTGTCTCTTCATGGCAATGGAACAGTGACTATGATAGGACCTCACTTTGTAGCCCATGCTAGAATCATGGGATGCACCACCAGCCCAACTCTAAGAGCTGTTTGTTTGGTTTGTTTGTTTGTTTGTGGGACAGGCTCTTACTGTAGAGACCAAGCTGACCTTGAACTCACAGATTCACCTGCCTCTGCTGCCTGAGTAATGGAACCAGAGGTATCTGCCAGTACGCAGCACACTGTAACTTTTAAAATTTGGATACAAGAGCTTTAAAGTCTCAAGCACACTGTAACTTTTAAAATTTGGATACAAGAGCTTTAAAGTCTCAACCTATTTTCCACTTTTGCCTTGACCCATAGGAAATTCAGAGTTTAAAATTCGTTTATAGTTGTTTCTTCTCAACACCCCACCCTCCACCCTCTACCTTCCTTATATGGCTCTCATTGAGGGTGAGTGAGTGAATGGAACGAATCTTTAGGTGTTTAATTTTATGCTAAGACAGCACAGGGCATTTTTGCCAGAGGTTTTAAAACTTGTGTTAGAAAGAGTGTCGCATTTAAAGACTGGGAGTAGAATTGACTGGAGGGTGTAGGGCCCAGCCATGTTGACAGGGAATCTGGACAGGAACATATGGGCGTGAGTCTGGGGATCTGTTGTGGATGCTGTTCTTCGAGCAGAGCAGCCTCAGGAGTGGGGCTGGGTGACTATTGAGGCCCACCAAAGAAGGACAGGCGGGCGTGTAAATGGAGTTCTTAATTGTTCTAAGTAATAAAAACCCAGAGTCAGATATAGAGGAAAATGCCGAGAGATCAGAGAGAAGGAGGAGCAAACCAAAGCTACCTTTACCTCATTGGCTCCCCAGTGGAAAAGAGAGCAAGTTCCTGTTTCTTCTGGCGTATATCCTCTCCCCCCAGCCATCTCACTTCCTGTCTGTCTGTACAGACCTCTATGGTTAGCTCTAGTGGCAAGCTCCATCCTCTGATCTTCAGACAAGCTTTACTTGTACTAGCGATACCACCACGGGGTGGGGGTGGGGGTGGGGGTGGGGAATGGAGTTGGGGCCAGGCTTCAGTGAACTCTCACTCCATCCCGGCCACTCCCTCTTTCACTTCACAGCCAGCTGTATATGGTTCTTCCTGCTTGCACGGGGCCCATGGTCCTGGGAGATGCTAGTGTACATAGACTCTAGAAGTTTAGCTGAGGGAGGGTATCCATATCTGCAGCCATGGGGATGTTGTCATCACGCTGGGGTGAGATTTTCTTTGTGGTGTGGCCCCTTGCTCCTGTAAGTAAGCCCTAACCCGTATTCTGTATGTAAGCTCAGTGAAGTCAATGGCCCCTCGATTTGGACTTTAGACTTGTGCTTTGGTTTGCCCGATAAGGGTAGATAGATGTCTGTTTGGCCTCCCTACAGAAGAGTTCCCACAATGGGGCTATGATGCTCCTGCTTTCCAGTTTGTCCATTTCCAATGACACGCTGGCTTCAGGAGCCGGTTTCCTTAGCCCTGGCTGTATGTCCAGGATGGTACTTTGTCATCTACAGGACCTGAATGCCTACAAGAAGCAGGGGATAGCACTGCTAACCAGAGTGGGTGAGTCGGTCAAGCATGTCACTGGCGGCTATAAGCTGAGGAGTCGGCCTCTGGAGTTTGCAGCCATCGGTGACTACTTAGACACTTTTGCACTCAAGCTGGGAACCATCGATCGGATAGCCCAGCGAATCATCAAAGAAGAAATAGGTGAGCTCTTTGATGAGACGGACGGTGCCCAGAGTGGCAGGAATGGTGGTCATATGTGTCAGGCTGAAGCAACTTGCAGAAATGTCACAGTGCCACAACCAGGCCTAGTTCTGCTTAAAAAAGCAGAGGAGCTGGTTGTGAGTAGAATGTAATTTTGCACTCAGTTCTTTGTCCACATTGAGCATGGTACTTTTCCCATGCCCTCCAGCCACAGAGCTGCTGATTACAGACATAAACTTAGCAGAGAGATGGCTCAGGAGAGGAGTGTGGGGGCCCGTGTTTGCCAAGGTTATGACCCACTGAGCTTCTGCCCTTCACCCTGCCCTGCTTCACTTTGCACCCTCTTCTGAGCTAGGGAGTTGCTCAGGCCTAGGTCTGTCCATCCTTATCACAGCCACTGCCTGTCTACCCTTCTCCTGCTGAGGTCACCTGATTAGCCACATCCCAGTAACAGTGGGCAGTTTGTCCCCTTACACAGGTATAGGCCAAACACACCAAATGATGTGCTTATCACGGGAAGACATCTGTCAGTTACTGCCACTTCCTAATAGTTAAACAATGGCAACCACATTCTGTCAAAAATGGCAAGAATCCTGGTAACAAAAAGAAGGCCCATATTTTACCCTGTAGGAATGGAATGAAGTTTTTTTTTTTTTTTCTTATTCCCTGAAACCACTGATAGGACTATTGGGTGTGGGATTGAGTCTATATAACACCACATCTCTATAATCCTGTTGTTTTTCCGTTGTGACTGATTTTTTTTTAAAGATCCCCCTGCTGAGTACTAGAGACATGACTCAGGTTAAGACCACTTGTTGCTCTTGCAGAGGACCAGTATTCAGTGGCTAGCACCTACCTGGTGGCTCACAACCATCTATAACTCCAGTTGCAGGGGATCCAAGGCCCTCTGAACCTAAATGAAGGACTCCCCCACATTGCATTGTAAAAGGGTGCACTTGCAGCACGGGTAGGGGTGATTATTTCCAAAGAAGTTCTCTGGGTTTGGCTCTTAGCCATGTTCCTCTTTAAGGTGTTTTGGTTCCTATTAACAAGAACCCTAGATATTAGTGACTTGTAATAGCTTTGAGAAATTAAAAAAAAAAAAGTTAGGACTATATTACAGTTAAAGGAGGGTTTGCCCAAGAAGGAGACCAGCCAGGGCTGTAGATTCCTAAATCACTCACTGAGTGAGAGCTCCCCAGCCAGATTCTAAGTGGCTTCTCTCCTATAGAGTACCTCGTAGAGCTGAGGGAATATGGGCCTGTATATTCCACGTGGAGCGCCTTGGAGGGCGAGCTAGCAGAGCCCCTGGAAGGCGTGTCGGCCTGCATTGGGAACTGCTCCTCAGCCTTGGAAGAACTAACAGATGACATAACAGAGGAGTTTCTACCAGTGCTCAGGGAATACATCCTATACTCTGACTCCATGAAGGTAAGCTGGCTTGCTTTTTTTGCACAACCACCAAAAAGCTCAGAATTGTCCCATATGGTACTTGTCCCTTCTCTGTAGTTGGGGAAACTGATACCATAGACATATAAATAGAACATATGGCAAACAGAATGTGTGAAATAAGTGGAAGAAAAGATCGGAAGAAATGTATGATCCGTGTTCTCTTACTGAGAAATGAGATGCTATTGGGGAAGGATGGGTAGATAACTGTGTGAATTAAAAACATGGCTTGTCAAGGCTGGAGAGATGGCTCAGTGGTTAAGAGCACTGGCTGCTCTTCTAGAGGTCCTGAGTTCAATTCCCAGCCCCTACATGTCTGCTTGAAATTGTTTGTAGATCCAGTCCCAGGAACCCACTTCTAGCCTCCTCAGGCAATGGCACTTAGGTGGTACACAGATATACAAACAGACAAAGCACCCATACACATAAACATTAATTAATTAAAAAAGCACATGATTTGTGAAATAAAATTGGTAAAGTTGGAAAATGTGGTTGAGGAAATCTTAGACCAAAAGAAGTAGTTGGAAAGCCAAACAGAACTACAAATAGTCCTGAACTGTGACAGACTTGAGGGCCAGTATAGCATTAATCTCAGGGCTCAGCATCTTTTGGAGAATTCCTGACTGAGGGAACAGAAATAATCAAGGGAAGGAAATTAAGAAAGTAAAAACCCCCAAACCAGAAGATACAAGCCTTTTGATTATAAAGAATGTGCTAGTTGTCCTGAAAAATGGATGAGAGGAGAACCGTACCATTGTGAACACACAGGGAGAAAGAGGTGGTCTTTAAACGGTGTAAGAGTGAGAATGGCTTTGGCCTAGCGCCGGCCAGTGAGAAAAGCCAGCTGTGAGGACACACAGATCCACGGATCTCTATATAGCACAAGGGTGGAGATGTACTGGTGCCCCACATGGTGGCTCACAGAGCCTGGCTGAGAACACAGCTTCAGGGGACTCCTGTGATGGTAGCACCGGGTAGAGAAAGGCTCTGTCTTCCTAACAGCACAAGAAGATACATGACTGTGTGTTGAAATCCCACCTCCAAGCAGTCGCTTAGGTAGCCGAGGATGGCCCTGAACTCCCGGCCCTCCCTTTGAGCACCAACTTCCAGATGTGCATCACCATGCCCAGTGCAGAGATGAGCTGGTTGATGACTATTGGAATAGAAGCTGAAAACCCAAAACTTCTGGCCCCGCGCCTGCAGCTTATTCTCATCCCCTATATTGCTCTTAAATACAGACAGAATTGTTAATTGTGTGGCTGAAGCAAGTATAGGAAGGCGTCCCCAATTATTTTAAATGAACTGAAACATTTTTCACTTTGCTTACAAGGTTAACAGTGCTTGCTTTTGTGAACAAAGAATAGGTTTATCCAATGTGTACAGTTTTAGGGTATTATACAGACTTTTGTATTCTAGCAAATGTGTTAATATTCACATACATTTGACCTTAGAGTAGGATTTTAAGTTGTTGTTAAGCAAAGATTTATCTAATATCTTAATTAAAGTGGGCTACACTGTGAGGCACAGGGTTGCTGGAGCATCTGAAGTCATACTGCAAAGAGGTGGTTTTTCTCCTGTACTGGGTTTCTTGATCACTGATCCCCAGAATACTGCAGTCAGGTTAATGGGGCAGGGGGAAGGATTGTCCTGTGTGGCTGGGGAAGGGCATGGTGAAGAGGAAGTGTTGCTGGTGTGTCTGGAAACGGCACTCTGGTCTGTGCCAGCTGAGGTAAGCCCTGTTAGGGAAAGAGGTTGCCGGTTGGCCCTCTTGGTCTCAGAAAGACACCTTTGCATACTGCTCTAGGATGCACAGTGTGACAGGTCAGCAAAGTCAGAGTTATACCTGAAATGGTTTGTGGGAAGGGCTTGAATGCTGCTTCCAGATAGTGATGTGTCTTTTTCCACTGAATATTCATGTTGCTAAAAATCCTTTTCCATCTTTTATACTCCAAGAGAATACTATAGTTCCCTATTCAAAAAAAAAAAAAAAAAAAAAAACTTTATGATATTCTATTCTTTTTTGAGATGAGGTTTCTTTGTGTAACCCTGGCTGTCATGGAACTTGTTATACAGACCAGGCTGGCCTTGAACTCCGCAGAGATCTGCTTGCCTCTGCCTCCTGAGTGCTGGGATTAAAGGCCTATGCTACCATGCCCAGCAAACTTTCTGATGTCTTAGATTTTTGAGAGGGAATTTGGTATTTGTTAGGAAAACTGAACTTAACCAGGAGCTGACTGGAGGCCTGGATGCTACCTTTTCCTCTACCTGCTGGTGGCTTCAGGGATAGAAGGTCCTGCTGGCTTGGCTTCCATGGCTGTCATTGGTACCAACTTTGACTGAACCAAAGTGAGTCCACTTGGCAGTTGCTGGAGTTTCTTTTTCTTCCCACAGTTTATGGGCTCACAGCCTCCCCAGGAGAGACATGGACTTGAGCTCAGGCGGAGAGATGTTGTGCTCTCTGATATATACTCACAATTGTGTTATTTTCTTGGGAAAAAAAAAAAATTCAGCGTTGATGTTGAAAGTCAAACCATGGAGTATGTCCTGGATTCCCCCAGGTGGTTTTCTCACTGTAGGGTTTGCCTACAAACATGTAGGCAAAGGCTGTTTGCCACAAACATGTCATCATTGACAGTTATAAGTCTGATCATTGACACAGTTTGTTGTAATCATTCTGGATGACAGGTATTATGTTTGCATAGTTTGATAATTCTGTTGTAGAAAATTTCAAACATGCCCAGAAATGGACAGTCTAACAAACCCACATCACACGTTCAAGAGTTGCCCACTCATGAACCCGCCACCCTCACTCCATCACTTGGTTTTAAAGTGAATCTTAAGCATCATTATAGTTTTATAGAAAAATACTTAGCATCTCAGATATATGTGCTCCTACAGTCAAGTAAAGAACCATATCATTATCACACTGTTATAATAATGGGTTGTTATAAGGACTGGGTATCTCAGTGGTGGAATACTTGACTAGCATGCATGAGAACCAAAGTTCAACACTCAGCACTGTGGAAAGAATCACGAGCAGTTACTAGGCTGGAGAGATGGCTGGGTGAAGGGAGTTGGGTAAGAACATTTGCTGGTTTGGCTAATTGTATCCCCAGAGACTGTGTGTTTGGAGTGGGGAGCCATCCTCACCATGGCCAACAGTGTGTAGAGGGTCCCCTTAGAAGATGCCCAGCCTTCAGCATGGCTGGGTCTCGGTCAGGCTGTGAGTTGCTGCTGTCCTTTCTTTGGCAGTGTGACTTCAGACAGGCCCTGCACTGTCACCATGCCAAGTGTCCTCATTTAGACTGTAGGTAGCCTCTTCGTCCTTCACCTCCACTAGGTTGTCGGGAGCCTTTTATGCCATCCAGTGATTCTGGGATGTAAGCCCAGATCCTCCCACCAGCTGGCTCATGAAGGCAACATCCCATTTGCTCCAGGGGAGGTTGGGTTGCAAAGGTGTGGACAGAAGGGCAGCCCAGACTAACTGGATCTGAGCTTCTCTTGCCTTCTTTGTGGAATGGGGTACATATTTGCCCTTTACACTATGGTAACCACCTAGGGTGGATGCATCTTCTCTCACTTCCTTCCCTGCAAGGGTCTTGGCATCCTCAACAAAGTAATGTAATTAAAAAAACAGGGAGAGAAAACCACACCTTGGGCTGACCGTCCAAGGCATTTTCTGAAGAATGTTGGTTCTGAGATTCTGGTCACTCCAACAGACAACATGTCTGTGCAACTTCATTCCTTGAAGTGCTAGACTGCAAACGCGTGCTTTTTCCAGTAAGATGTGCAGCATTCTGTGAAGGAAGTACACACACGCTGGGTAAGACGCCACCGCCCCACAGACAGCATCATGTGTTCATTTCTCTTGGGTGGTACCAGACAGGCAGATTTAGATTATAGCCTAGGCTTTTTGAAGTCAGTTCTTGTTATTTTCCTTTGTTTTGTTTTATAGATTTAGCCTGTCTAATGTAGCCACTGGCCATATATAATGATTTATTTAACTCTAAAGTTAAGGATAAATAAAAATTCAGGGCTGGAGAGATGGCTCAGTGGGTAAGAGCACTTGCTGCTTTTGCAGAGTGCACAAATTATGGTTCCACCACCCACCCACATAGAGTGGCTCACAGCAGTTTATAACTCAAGCTTCAGAGCGATCTTGGTGGGAACCTGTACTCACAAACACACATACACGCACACACACACACACACACGCACGCACACACACAAATCTGTTTCTTCAGTCACATGAGCCACGTGTCAAGTACTGGACAGGCAGATGTGGCTAGTAACTGTGTTGTGGAACATTTCCATCACAACAGAAAGCGCCGCTGGAGACATTCGCAAGTGTGGGAGTGAGCATCAGAACACTTAGGAGAAAGATGACTGGCCTACCTGGGGGATGAATGATTGCTGGTGATGTGTTCTTCAGAGTAAATTCTGCAGGACAAGACTTGGGGCTCCCAGTGTGGATGATTCCCTTTAGAAGATGGGCTGTACAGTGCCCTCAGGCATTTAGTCACTCAGCACCTTCAAACACATCCCCAGGTTCACCAGTTGCCTATCACAGTCCGGGAATGGGTCCTTCCTGCCCTGACTCCATGCTGTGTTGGAAGGTCACTGTGTGGAATTTATGATTAGAAAATGTCTTGGTAACTTGTTGCTTCTGAGTCAGTGGGTAAGAAGGCTCTCACCATTCCTGGTTTACCATCTTTTAATGTTCCAGAAGAAGGTTGAGGGGAAGGAAGAACTGAGGTGTGCTTTTTCTACTGCAAGCTCTTGTATCTGGCACTGTAGGGTCTGGGCAGCAGGGCTAAGATTGGGGGAAGGAAGGGGCGCCCAGGGTAGGGCTCAAGGTGATATTCACTCTCAGGTGACCATGCCCTTACACTTTTCACATGAGTCCTGCCTCACCGCTGTCTCTCCCAGGCTGGCTGTCATTAAGCCCATTTGCCACCCATCTTGTCAAGCTTGCTGCATGGTTCTAGGAACTCAGAGCTGTCACACAGGGCTTCTGTACATGCAGCTTTGTATACATCAGGACCTTTCTCAGACTGAACCCTCAGCTGAGGACTGAGTCTGCACCCCGTATCTGACCCAGAGTATAGAACAAACAAGTAGCTAATGGGACAGAAGGCAGATCAGTCCACCGGGGGGCCAGCCCAACACTGAGAGTCAAGAACTCTCCTATAATCATTCTATTACAGAGTGACATTAGCTGATAGTATATTCATGAAAATTGCTGAGAGCAGATTTAAATGCTCTCACCACAAAAAATGAGCATGAGGTAATGTCTGTTAATTTGCACAGTGTAGCCACACCATAATATGCATGTATTTTGGCATACTTCATACACAATAAATAGTGGGATTTTTGTCAATTATATAAGTTAATAATTATAATTAAACACTGTTTCGGCTGTTCTTTGCACTGGACCCAGAGATGGCCCTGCGTTTAAGCATAGAGCTTGGCATCTGTCAGAGGTCTCTGTACTCGGTAAGGCTGAGAGGCCTCTGGGCAGTCTGGTAATGGGTGCACATTTCCCCTACTCACTCTCCCCAAAAATCTATTGCTGTCATCATCTGGCAGGCTTCTTTCCTGGAGAGCCTAGGCTCCAGGATTGGTTCTCCTTCCTTTCCCCTGCTGTCCTCAGAGCTGGAGTTACGTGTAGCTTCTGGGCCATAGTCCCTGTCCTGGGAGCACATGACTGGGATAGGAGTTGGAGGCGCCTTTGCAGGCTGTTAACATGTTCTTTCTATTTTCCACAGAGTGTACTGAAGAAGAGGGACCAAGTTCAAGCAGAGTATGAAGCCAAACTGGAAGCTGTGGCTCTGAGAAAGGAAGATCGTCCCAAGGTCAGGCCAGCACCCAGCAAAGGCTGGGCTGAGCGCTGCAGGCTCCCTACTCAGCCTTAGACTTAAGCATAGGACCTTCCACTACCAACATGTCGTTCTCCTTCTGTGTGTTTGTGATCGGATTTGTAGTTGTGTTCACAGAAATGGTGGGCATAGAAAGCTAATCGTAAGGACCAATGTTCAGGCAGATAGTTTGACATCAGAACTAGTCAGTCATCTGTGCCTCTCTCCCTGGAACAGACTTGGGGAATTTGAAACCTCACTCCTTGACTTGGTGTGTGCTTTTTCTTTTTTAGAGAATTAAGTATTTCACAGGATACTGTGCTAGTCATTTGACCCAGAGGGGAGAGTGTTTTTACGCATTCTATGGGCAGGGAAGTGAGTCACACAATAGCTCTGTGAATTGCTTAGTGTTTCAGATGTGCATGTTCCTGTACCTAGTATACCATCATAGCAGGTGGAGATTCGTGTCTGTTGACTCATGTGTCATCATAGTGAGCCACTGTAACTAGTCTTTTTCTGTCCCACCAGCCAGCTCCCAAATAATGACAAAGAGGCTTCTTATTAATTATGAAAACTCAGCCTATAGCCCATCAGCATGTGGACAGACCTCTAGGAAATGAGCAACTTTAGGCTTTTCTCTCCTTGTCTCCAAATGGTTTGAGCTTACAAAATTAAAGCTGCTGTTGGTGAAGTAAAAGCCAGGCCATCAGGTTCGGTTCTACTCCAAGGACTCAGCCAACTCTTTCAGTTACTGGTCGTCTGGTATGTGTGAGTGAGTGAGTGCTGAGTTTAGACACAGCAGCAGAAAATTAAATCTTAAAAATAAAACGTTGATGGGAGAGAGAGAGAGTCAGAATTTTGAGGTTTTGTGAAGCCATGGTACATTGAAACCTAATCACTTAAAAAGAAAAATTGTGTGTGTGTGTGTGTGTGTGTGTGTGTGTGTGTGTGTGTGTGTGTGTGTGTGTGTTCATTCATGTATGTATCCAGAAGCCTCAGGATCTCTGTTGTTCACTGCTGTGTATGCTGGGTTACCTGACTGTCATTACAGACTCTCTGAAGAGTCGTGAGGGTTCTAGGAATATAATCTTATCCTCAAGCATATGCAGTGAGAGCTTTTTCTACTGAGCTGTGTCCCCAGCCTAAAACCTAATTATTTTTATGTTAACTAGAGGAAGGAGCTTCGTAGGTCTCTGTATTCCTCACTCCAAATGGAGTAGTCATCTTAGGATGGAGCAGGCCGCATGGCTGAGGTGCTGGCTGGGAGCCCTGTGGTCTTGCAGGGCTGGTGAGACTACTAGTGCTGAGGGAGACATAATTGGATAGGAGTTCTAGTTTTGCTCTGTTTTGAGGCCCTAGAAAACGAGAGACACTGAGCTGGTTTGCCCTCAGACAGTGCAACTGTGTCTTGTGTAGACTTAGGCTGGTGGTTTGAAAGAAAATGGCCCCAAAGGGAGTGGCCCTATCATGAGTGTGGCCTTGTTGGAGGAAGTGTGTCACTGTGGTCTTTGAGGTCTCTTTTGCTCAAGCTTCATCCACTGTGACACTCAGTCTACTTCCTATTGCTTGCATATCAACGTGTAGCAGCTTCTCCAGCACCCTGCCAGCCTATTTGCTGTCATGCTCCCTGCCATGGTAATAATGGACTGAACCTCTGAATCTGTAAGCTGCCACCTCAAATAAATGTTTCCATTATAAGAGTTACATGGTCATGGTAATATACATAGTAATAGAAACCCTAACTTAAGGCACTTAGCTTTCCTTCCAGTTTTAATGTTGAGAAGCCATAGGCATAGGAGGAGACCAGCTAGCTGCCTTAGCATCTGGATTCCTCTTCAGAGACTCAAGAACTGTTACTACAGAAAGGGTCAGAGGGCTTAGCATGTAAAACCAGGCTAGACATTGGCACACTAAGTAAACAGTGAGGGCGAACCGTGGAGGAGTCATTTACATTTTACTCAATTTTGCATTAAAGATTTATTTATTTTATGTGCATGAAGTGTTCTACTTACATGTATGTATGTATGCTGTGTGTGTCTGTGCCTGTGGACACCAGAATAGGGTGTTAGATCCCCTGGGACTGGAGTTACAGGTAGTGCTGAGTTGCCATGTTGGTCCTGGGAACCACACCTATGTTCTACAAGAGTGGAAAGTGCTCTTAAGCACTGAGCCATCTATTCAGTACCTGTAATTTTTGCACTTTTTCTCTTTTCCATGCTAATATATTCACATACCATTGATTCATAAGGAAGCAGGACCTGGTGGAGCATGCCTGTAATCCCAGTGTTCAGGAAGCTGAGAGACAGGGGAATCCCCAATTAGAGGCCTGCCTGAGGTACACAGCAAGACACTGTCTCAAGAAGCAAACAGTGAAACAAAACAGAATGAGGAATGCTGGGAAAAAATGCTACACAAAAACCACAGTACTCCAGGCTGGCCTTAAACTCACAGAGAATTCTGCCTGCCTCTCCCTCCTCAGTGCTGGGATTAAAGGTGTGCACCACTACTTTCTGGCATAATATACTTATTTTTAAAAGGAAATTTTTGAAAAAATAGCCGAAAGCGGCTATTTTAGGCACCTTGCACCCATAGTTGAAAGCAGAGAAAGATGAATGTGGATCCCAGCTTGACATGGGTGTGAAGCTTCTCTGTCCCTTTTACCTTTTAATTTAGCTTGGCACCCCATCTATGTTTGGAGTTGGCCTTCTCTTAATCAGCAGTCCTCATATTCATATAGTTGGGCAACTTTATAAGGGAAGGTGCCCAGTTCCCTCAACCTTGTCCTTGCCATGTTGGCATTCTTCTGGTTGATAGAAACTGACTCTTGGTGGGCGTTGGTGGCACATGCTTTAATCCCAGGACTTGGGAGGCAGAGGCAGGCAGATCTCTGTGAGTTCAAGGCCAGCCTGGTCTATAGAGTGAGTTCTAGGACAGGCTCCAAAGGAATACAGGGAAACCCTGTCTCAAAACAAAAAACTACCACCACCACCACCACAACAAAACTGACTCTCAGTAGTTAGTCCTGTAGCTTGGAGACATTTGGGCTCATTGGTTTGGAGCCTTAAAACCTTCAAGGTATCATTTGTTTCTGGCAAGTGTTGGCCTAGCTTTGGGCATACTGAGCCCTGACCACCATAAGGGCCCAATAGAGCACTTGTATTGTTAGTGGTTTTTTATTCTTTGCTTTTACTCTTGGGTCTTTTGAGGGGCACTGCGCAGCTCCAAAATAAATCACACATGGAATCTTATTCTTTTTTATGAATGCCCGGCCAGCTTGGCTTGTTTCTGATCAGCTTTTCTTATGTTAAATTATCCCATCTTCCTTTTGCCTCTGGACCTTTACCTTTCTCTATTTCTGTATGTATATATTACTTTCCTTCTTACTCTGTGGCTAGCTGTGTGGCTGAGTGGCTGGCCCCCAGTGTCCTCCTTTTCTTGTTCTCTCCTTCCTCCTTCTCCTTTTCTCATTTCTTCTTCTAATTATACTCTCTGCTTGCCAGCCCCACCTATCACCATTCAGCTCTTTATTAGACCATCAGGGGTTTTAGACAGGCAAAGAATCACAGCTTCGCAGAGTTAAACAAATGCAGCAGAAAAAACTGGAGAGATGGGTCAGAGGTTAACAGCACTAGCTGCTCTTCCAGAGGTCTTGAATTCAATTCCCAGCACCCACATGGTGTCTGACAACCATCTGTAATGAGGTCTCGTGCCCTCTTCTGGCGGGCAGTCATACATGCAGGCAGAACGCTGTATGCACAATAAATAAATGACTGCGACACATCTTTGCATTAATTAAAGCAAAGTTGCACAGCATAAAGAAACATAACACATCTTAAAATAATATTCTACAACACACTTGAGAGAAGATAGAAAATCTGGTTTTAGAAAACCACCATGACCAGGAGGCCCTCGATAGCCATGTGGGATAAATGCAACTCACAACAACAAAGTGAAGGTCACAAAACCCAGGGGATGCACTTCCTTTTGGAGTAGGTCTTCCTAAACCTTAAGAAAAATGTAAAACCACCTGCTGTATTACGCTTCAAATTCTTTTGATACCTTCAACGATTTTCCTTCCATTCTTGGACTTTCTGGTTATCTGCTACCTGGAATACAAAAGGGTACCCAGTTTACTTATGATGTGGAGCTCAGAGGTGGGAGCTGGCTGGTGGTCTTGTTATTACAGTTCACTTGGATAAGTGAGCTTCATCAGACACCACAAGTATTGGACTAGTTCCCATGACCCAGGAAACACCTTCTTTTCTAGTTCTGACGCCACATGGAACTGTATGTGCAAAGTCTGTCCCCATTTGTCAGCATGGATGAGTAAATCCTAAAAGGATCCCAAGCCACCTCCAAGGCCTTTTCTTCCCATTTGCAAATGGAGACAGGAGCGTGGTTTCCCATGTGTCTCTGCTCTGTTGAATGGGTGCGAGGATGTTTGCTTTATACAAACTCTTCCATAGGTCCCACAACCCAAATCTCTGCTTTTCAGGAAGCATTTGGACTTCTCTGTATGGCTCTGGAGCCTATCCTGGAGCTCATTCTGTAGACCAGGCTGGCCTCCAACTCTCAAGAGATCCTCCTGCCTCTGCCTCCCGAGTGCTGGGATTAAAGGTGTGCACATTTGGAAATTTTAATTTAGCACTTTGGCTCCCTACACATGTTTGAGGAGGAGCTCACAGTAGGAGAAACCGTTCACACTTCAAAGTCACGAATATATTTCCCTTCCAGGTGCCCGCAGATGTGGAGAAGTGTCAGGACAGGGTGGAGTGCTTCAACGCTGACTTGAAGGCTGATCTGGAGAGGTGGCAGAGCAACAAGCGGCATGATTTCCGGCAGCTGCTCGTGGGCTTGGCTGACAAGAATATCCAGTATTATGAGAAGGTGAGAAGGCCCATGCCACTGTGGTTTCTAGTGCCCAGAGCCTTTCATGGGAGTAGGGGGGAGGGGGTGGGGGGTGGTTTCCAGAAATCCCAAAGCATGATCCCCTTGTCCCATCCTTAACTTGCATCTGAGCTACCCCGAGTGTCCTGTCAGAGTAGTGCTGAATTTTAAAGCACAGACACAGTTCTCCCAGGTGTCTGTCTCTTGCACACTGCTGGAGTAGGCGGCTCTTTGGTCTGGGCAGCTGGCTGCTTCCCAGACCCAGTGAGGCCAGTACTTGGGTACCATAGTTAAGAAAGGCTTTGGGGTTTCTTATATTACCTTGTGGTTTTCACTATGTCATGGACCTCCTTTAGACATCTTATCAAAATCCCTTTGTTTTTAATGTTAGATTTTAAAATACTCTTTTTAAATACCTAAAATAATGCAATGTAGCCTCATGATGTGTGGACTTCAAGCTCCTGTTTCTCTCTCTCTCTCTCTCTCTCTCTCTCTCTCTCTCTCTCTCTCTCTCACACACACACACACACACACACACACACACACACACACACACACACACACGGTTAAAGGGAGAGAGCCATCTCCTTAAATCAAGGTTCACTCCTATTGTGTCTAATTTGAAGTCATTTCTGATAATGAATCCTAATGTCTTTTGTAGCCTACACATAGAGTTAAACAACGGCCTAGTTTCAGTTGAAATAACTTGTGGCCTTGAAATTCAGGGCAGCATCTCATTATATGGGAAGGTGCTAGGGACAGGCATATCTCTTAAATTGTAGCCCTAGGATAGGTCCTTGGCTTTGAGACTTAGATGGTTGTGGCTGCTGCTCTGAGGTAGCATGCCTGTACTTTTCCTGGCTTACTAAAGGAAAGTTAAGGAAACAAAGCTGAGTCCCTGCTGCTTCTGAACTGGGTTTCCCATGGATACTTAGCATTTGTCAACTCGTTAAATTTAACTCTCCATCAAGGCCAAGAGGTATGGGCATCGGAGGAAGGCCTGAGTGAGTGAAGTCCTGAGTGAATGTTCTTTGTTGACCCATTTGGAGGCCTCTGAGGCCTCTGACCCCTGGGAAGCTGGCACACCCATTTCATCCTGGGCCAGGCTCGAGAGGGATAGCAAAGCTTCCTCTGGGTCTGAGTGTGAATGCTTTTGAGCAAGTGATCAGGGTGTTGCAAAGACTAGAACTGCAGCTTCCTCCTTCCAGATGTTTACAGCTTGAGACTGTTCGCCTACAGAGATCTATTGATACTAGTTAGCCCCTCCCCCTATTCTGTACCTAATAAACTCACTGAGGTTCCATGTTGCTGCCATTAGGAGCCCTCTATCAGAGTGAGCACACCCCCAATTGATTCTAGCTTTGCTGTGTGTCTGTCTGTATGTTTGTCCTTTCTTTGTCACCATCCCTAGTCGGGATTCCAGGACCCAAGCCACATGATCAGGTCAAGTAATGTGACAAAGGAGATGGTATTATTTTCAATTTGAAGCTAAAAAAAAAAACAAAAACCCAATACTTACAGAAGTTTAAAAATTCCTCCCAAGCCAGCCCACCCTTTGAGTGCCAAACTATGAGTATCTAACTGATAGAACCATAAGTCTGGATTGTCCCCACACACAGTCAGCTTAGGAGACAGCGGCCACACACTTTTGGAAACAGCCTTACTTCCTCAAGGTAGGAAGCTCCCCAGATGAAGTCAAGGCCTCTTCCTGCTGCATTAGACAAGGCTCCTCTTGATGCCTCTCATTCTTGATTTGTAAGTGCTAATCATTTTTTTGCAGGATGATTGTGAAGGTAAAATAAAGTGCCCACCCAAGTTACCAGAGCATACTCGGCATGTGGCAAGCACTCATTAGAAATTGTCTTGATGTTCTTACTTCCCGGTCTAAAACCAATTATGTGCAGTGCCTCCGTCATACCTGTTGTGGGCAAATCTACCATCTCTAAAGTTCCAGAAGGCAAACTCAGGCCCTGGCATCTTCTTCCCATTTTACCATAAACAGGGTTACTGTCTTGAGGCCTAGACTTGGCTTCTATTGTTTGACATTTTTTTTTCCCTGTACTTTTTGTATGCAAAGGCTTGTTTACAAACTTGTTAAACAGAAGGATATGTACCACCCTCTAGGCATCCTCAGTCCATGAGAGATGCATTAATGATGGATTCCCAGAGGTAAGGGTGAAGGGACTGTGTTAAAGGTAAGGAACAGAAAGAACGTACTGGGAGTCTAGTGGAGTGGGCACAAAATAACATTTTCTTATTCTGTTATTGCCTATGGAAATAACATTTGCTCTGATCCTTAGAGTCAAAGATCTGACAAACGTACTGTAGGCAAGGGGCGCGGCATCTGCAAGGTCCCTGAGCAGGAGAAGAGCTGACACATTTAAGGACCATTTGAAAGTTTGATCAGTCATGGTTCCTCCTGAGACATACAGAAGGACCCTTGTAGATAGGAGGGGATAGCCTAGAGTTTGGAATTCTACGGACTTCCCGTCAGGTCCATTGCTGGAAGCAAGCCCTTACTGTATGTAGGACAGGCTGCTGAGTCGTCCAGGAAGGTGTCGGGGAGAGGTTTCACCACTCCTCTTTCTGCTTGACCTGGTGATGCCTCCCTCCTCCCTCCTCTGCAGAACGCCTCCCAAGGTGACTCAGCATGGAACCCTCCTTCACCCCAAGGCTGTCGATTACAGTGGGTTTGTCCTTCCCTTTTGCAAGAGGCTCTTCAGAGGGAGGACCATGTCTACTGAGCCAGCCACACTCAGAGGCAGTGCCCAAGTCTCCTAAGTGCATGGCCTGTCACAAGGACCTGGAATGAAAGGAGATTGCAGTGAAAGGAATATCAGTTTGCATTCATGTTCTGCCTATGAACCTTGTGACACTGAGTATAAAATACATAACAGTATATGGGCCTAATAAAACCTGATAGTTGGCTAATAAAACCAGTGAGATGGCTTATCAAAGTGGGTAAGGTACTTGCTGCCAAGCCTGACATTCCTGAATTTGATCCCCAAAACACACATGGTGGACAGAGAAAACTGACCCCTTAAGGTTGCCCTACATCCACACATGTCGTCGTGTATGTATCCCCACAGAAATAGCTGTAAAAATTGTTGCACTCCCTTCTTTCCATCTTTGGGGATATCTGAGAGTGGCCCAGATAAACAGACCAAGCTTCAGGTTGGTGAACAAGAGCAGGTTTTCCACCCACCCTGACTCGAGTGGCTGGCCTTTCATGTTTACATCCTTGTATAAGCCCCACCCACACCTCCAACAATGTCTTCGCGGGTGCTCAGAACCTGTGTCCTCATCAAGAGTTTCCTGCCCAATCTAGTTTTTGCTTAGTCAAGGGAAAGATTTTCTTAGAGTGGATCCATCCCCACTCCCTGGGGGTGCAGGCTGGGCACTCTCACGAATACATGCAAAGCTCTGTAAGGACATTGCTCTTTCATAGTTTAGACAAACACCTGTCACCCCCTCCTCTGCTGGTAATAGTTTTGATAACACAGGTAGGTGCCACTAGACAAAGGTGACCCAGCAGGATCGGGATTGACAGAGTAGCATTAAGCATGTTGTATGCATGTTGTCGTTTCAGTGCCTCATGGCGTGGGAGTCGATTATTCCACTACTGCAAGACAAACAAGAGACCAAGTAGATTTGTTCTTGGGACAGAGACTCTTCTGCCTCTACAGGGCATGGCACCCTGAACCAGAATGTCCCTGCAGTGCCGGAGAGGTGGTCGTGGGAAAACAGCACAACAGCACCTCTCGTTTATGAACTTTCTCCCTCTCCCTCTCCCCCCCACCCCCATAGTTGTTTTCAGTTTAGTATTTATTCCTTGGAGGAGTCCATGAGGCTGTAATCATCTCTCAACAGAAGCATACCTCCATATTGTGAAGGAGCCTCCTAAGTGGAACACTACGAAGACTTGAAACTAAGGGACAGGACAACCCCCAGATGACACTTGACATCACTTTGGGGGGCATCCCAATTGCTGTTGTGGGACAGAACAACAGCCTTGCTTTTCAGGGACACAGGAGACATGAAGAAGGCAGCTGTGGCTCGCTATGGCGACCCTGTGGCTCTGTACTTTGCCCCTGGGGGCACTGGCCTGTCCCAGCATAGGAGGTATAGGTACCTTCTTGGAAAGTCCTTAATTTACAGTGGCCTGTGGCTGTGACTGTGGCCTACTGCCTGCTCATCATGAGTGGCATCTGTTGACTTGTTTTTGGTTCACCTGGGTCCATTTAAATCAGTGTCTGTGTGCATCAATGCTCGAGTGAGCAAGCCAGCGTCCTTGTCCTTATGCGATGCCTCAGGAAGCTGAAGAGAATGCCCCTGGGTCTTGTTTCTGACACCAGAATGCTATAGATGAGAAGTTTTTGGTGTGAATTGGGAAAAGGTGCATTTTTCTCCATGTAGGTGTTATGTTTTTGTTTTGCTTGTTAACCGTCATCGTGGTTGGGATTAGATCTGTTAGGAAATAGCTGCTGTTTTATGGTCAGTGACTCTCCCATGTGCCAAGCCCCAGCGCCAATGCCTGCTTTGTGCAGTTTGCCTTAACCTCACCAAAAATGTCTGGTTTAATACTTCTATCAGGCCCACTGAATATCTGGGCAACCTTGCAGTGAGGGCCGGTGTGTCGCACTGTTACGACTGTCACAACTTGTAAATTCAGTGTGAACGTTCTATATGAGTGTTTTAACCCTCAAAAGCCTGTGGTCTGGAGGAACACTATCTGCGGGGCTCTTGGAGATGAGAAGAGAGACAGCAGGCCCTGTGCTGCTGACTATGTGGAAATCTCCATTTGCAGCCAAAATATGAGGAATGCTGGCTGAGCTTAAAGTCATCATTTGAAACTTTTCAATGGCTGTAAAATCAGCAGTTAGAAAGGATCTCTTCAGATCATTGTTCTTGCTGAAAAGAAGCTGCATAGTGTGTTCTTTCATCTGTGGCTTTGCTAAAAACCCATAAATCTGAGCCCCAGGTAAATGGAAGGGGTTTTGTTTTTAAAACAGTCGAGTTATTGCTTCACACACAAATTAATTTGCAAATTCCAATCAACACACAGCATGCTGAAGTCCCGTCATTCCCTCTGTCAGAGTTGGACCTCCAGTTGGCTGCATCTGGGACATTGTGGACAGCAGCTAGACAGCATGAAACTCTTTGTCTTTTCCTCACATCTGACAAGCTTATGGTTGAAATAATAATTCCTGAAGGTATTGGTACTTGCCTAAACCCCATCAGTGTCACCCTAAAATCCTTTGATGTGAGTTGTGTTTGGTACACACATAAATGGCCCACTGAAGCAGAGGGTAAAAACAGTCTGTGCACCCCAAACTTCAGTGGCTCAGCATCTCATTCTACCTCTAAACCATCTGGTTGGTGTGGGTGTGAGTGCCCAGAGCCAACCCCAGCACGCTGGTAGAGTCAGGGCATGTATCTAGTCACCAACAGGGCTCCACTGATGGATGTCATGAGATACCAGACTGGCCCAGCAGTGATGCTCATCTTTGGGAAACATGAAACTTGGTGGATTGTGTGCTTGATAAGTGTCTAGTGTAACAATGCTTGAAAGGAACTACAGAAAGAATTAAGGAGAAGCTACAATTTGATGACCAGCTGAATGCCCTGTGCAAACAACCCTGGGCTGCACTGGGAAATACAGGGATGGAAGCAGGGTCCTCAGGCATTCCCTCACGAGAGATTGGCCCTCATGCAGGGCACCTTGAAATTTTTGTCTTGTTCTATTTATTTGGCCAGCAAGCAATGTTTCTAGACTTTTAAGATTCCAGAAAGAGCTGGAATAATGGAGACTTTAGGTCCCCTATGAACGATGTCAGTGGCTGAGCCAGGAACACCCATGCACAAGAAGGCACTCTTGTCCCAGTCTTCAGGCTGAGGAGGCTGGCCCAGAGGGAAAGGCGCAGTGGACAGTGAAGGAGGCCTCCAGCCCTCCTACTCCTGTGGCTCACTCGGTCCCCGGAAGCTCGCCAGTAAAAGCATTTGTTTCCTCTTGGCCAAGCACAAAAGAGATTCCCCACACAAAACAGCTAGGAGACTACAGTGCCAAAATGTTCCAGAGAGGCCCCATTAGTTCCTTCTGGAGCCTACAAAGCCTCTGCCTTGAAGTCACAGATCCCTCTTGTTTATTTTCCATGAAACTTTGCCTAGAGGGTAGAGTGCACTGAACCTCAAGCAGAGGGATATATAGTTCAAAGCTTTGAACACATGACAGTAAAGTGAAAGTTGGCCCTAGTAACTGCCCAGGTCCTGAGAAATGGAGGATTTGTTCCCTAGGTTAGAAATCTGTCAAGGTAAAAAGTGAGAACTCTTAAAACCAAGGAGATTAGAGAGATGCGAGTGTTTATACAGCACTGTTGTGGTTTGTAGCAGTGAGGATATACTAATGCTGGCAGTTTGTAAGAAAAAAATTGGGTTGTCCTGCTCAAAACAGGGAGGCTTTGCTCAGGAGTCAGGAGGGGCTCACGTCTCAGCCTGTGTGGGCTTGGGTTTCACCCTCTCAGTCATAATTGTTGATGAGTGGCGAGTTAGGCCTAGGGAGGCCACGGCTTGTGCTTAACCAAGCTACCCCTGGGCTCACCAGGCACTTCCCATAGCCAACATAAGAAACTGGGGCTAGAAGTGAAATGTACGTCTCTTTATGCCAAATGTGAGCCCCATGGAGTGTGCTTCAGATGCCCAGGAGAGTGTACTCTTTCTACTGTCCACAGGAGGACACTGTCCTTGCACACTTAGCCTTTGGTGAGGGTCGGATAGAAGTTCTGATTTTCGAAGTGAGCATGATGGCAATGTTTCTCTTTTAGGACAAACGCCCAAAGAACACTGGGACTCTGACTTGGTCCTGTCCTATGGCCCTGAAGCCCTAGGTATCTGGCTGTGTTTCAGTGAGGTCATTTGAATCATAGTAATGCCACTACACTACACTGTCCTGAGCTGGTTGGGGTGGGTAAAGCAAAGCCAAGGATTGCCTTAGAGGCTGCATTGGCCCTACTGGTCTTGGAGTGGGCTGGAACTGGGCTCCTCTCTGGCTAGGTGGAGCTGGAGAGCCCGAAGGGGAAGGGGAAGGGGTGACTCTTTCAGAGGATTAGCTCCTGTGGCTGGGCAGGGCACTCCCTTTTGCACCCACCTTCTCACAAAGGGTTGGAAATCAAGTAAGCTAAGCATTGGGTTAGGGGACGTTGGTCATCTCCATTTACAAGACTATGTTGGGAGTTTGGGGTTGCCTTCTCACTCTCAAAAGTCTTCAGGGTGGCAACAGATGGGACGTGCCTCCCCATCACCTGTGGTCTTCTCTCCTCAGGTAGCAGGTGGCATGTCACAGTACAGTTGAGCAAAATTACCTCTTGGCCAAATAGAGATACAGTAGGTGTTGGGGCTGCTTGCTTCCTCCCTGTTTGTAATTTAGTAAATAATGAGGGATTCGGTTTTTTGCCAACCCACTCTGTAGGTTGTCAGTGTTGTGTTTTGAAAGTGTCCCCATGGTTGCACACATCAGAGGACAGGGACTCTGTCTAGGCTGGGGTGAAGGCTCTTTTACAGGAGCAGACCATTCTCTCTTAATCATATCTGTATTCCTGGATATGACTGACTGCCTAACCCTTTATGTGTGGCAAAAACAAAACAAAACAAACAAACCAAAAAACAAAAACAACCCCCCCAAAAAAAACCCAAAACCAAAAAGCAAACAAACAAAAACCCCCACGTTACTAGTTTTTAACTACTGTAGTTTGTAAATAACTGCTGTGGGGTAGGGGAAACTTTTAGAGAGACCAATAAGATGTCTCTGTCATATCTGTGTTCTTAGCACTTGAAAACCAACACATCTACAAAAAGCCACAGACTGTTAAAAGCCTAACCGTAGTTCTTAAAACTTTGTCAGTACCCACTAATTGCCTTACTCTTCAGCTAGTGTTTTAAAAAGTCTGCATATAAAGTTTTACATGTGGAAGCAGATGGCCATCTTCAGTCCCATTAAAGTCACAAGCCAGAGGTGAGGGTCACAGAAGGAAGGTGGCCTTTTGGGAGGTGAAACTAAATATTGCTGCTGCCAAATGGTATTTGAAATAATGTCAAGAAACCGGGGCCATGACACTGATACTGTTTGATGTTTTTGAGTGAGAGAGACAAACTTGGTTTGCATTGGCATAGTTTGGGGTATGAAGAATACAGACATCAGCAGTGACAAGTCACATGGCTTCAGAGGGTCCTCTAGACTGTGACAGCATGAAAGTTTTACCCTGCTTCTGCAGAATGGGCCCCAGAGCACATTGAGATAGAAATTCTCCAAAGGTTGAAATGCCAAATAACATAAACCTGTTCTGCCAACTCATTAATACTAAAGCCAGTGGTAAAGAGTTGCCTATGCGCCTGTCCCAGAAGTACCGCCCAAGTCTCAGGTGATTTGGGTTCTCCCAGTCCAGGTCAGAGCAGCTAACACCTGTGCACCCTGCTGTAAACAGGCCGGCCCACAGCCTTAGACTGATGCTTTGCCAGGAACAATGCTGGAGGGGAGGAAGGAGGAGGGATTTTTTTTTTTTTCCTAGACTGCAAAGCAACATGTGGATTGGTGTAACCAAGCAATGGCTGTGTCATGGCTATGTCAGCTGGGCTTTCGTCCAGGAACAAACCAGCACAAACCTTTACCAGTCAGCACTGTCCACCTAGCCGGTGCTGAGGGTTGGGGCTCTCCCCAGAGTCCCTGCTCCTTGTCTTTCTGTGTGCCTGTTCCCTTCATGCCAGAGTCAGGAAAGCGTGGAAAGGCAGCCTGCATTTGACAGACTCCCACGAAACAAACTGCCAGCAAACTTTCTAACTCTCATTTTAACTGTTCAAGGTGGGGATTCTAACAAACTTTCGGATTGTGTTTTTTAGTTTTAGAAACTTCCAGAGTAAGGATCAGGCTTCTGAGGTATGGTGTCCTGCTGTGATCGCTCTCTCTCCATGCTGCCATTAAGCCAAAACAAAAGCTGTGAGCACAAGTGCTTGAGAGAATGCGTGTTGATAAGAAAGTGATTTCTTTACAGATCCAAATCTTTGTCTCATGAAGCTACCAAAAAGTGAATGTCACCTTTTTCTTTGTTATGGAACCAGAGATTATAAAAAGGAAAAAAAAAAAAAAAAAGAAAAAAGAAATAAAAGTTGTTTTGTTGTATTTTTGATGCTGGCACGCAATTCATGTCCACTTTGGTTTTCGTATATCTGTGTGTAAGAAATTCTGTTTGTTGTTTACTATGGAATTAGTATTACATTTTGAGGTAAATGAAGAATTTGTATTGCTTGATAAACTATTAGCTTGTAAATTAAAAAAAATTCTTTACCTCAGTTAACTTAAAATAATGGACCAATAAATCTATAAAAGATGCTTTATTTATCCCGGGTCATGTGTTCATTTGTACTAGTTAGGACAGGGA